AGCGTACGATGAAGCATCATCTAATGTTGAAGAACTAAATGTGGTAATTACTGAAGCAACATCTAAATTTGAAGAACCAAATTCAACATACGGCGAAGCATCATCAAATGTTGAAGATCTAAATCCAGCAACAGTTGAAGTATTACCAAATGCTAAAGAACTAAAGCTAGAAAATATTGAAGCATCATCTAATGTTGAAGAAATGAATGCCGCAACTACTGAAGCAACATCTACATCTGAAGAACCGAATTCAGCGTATGATGAAGTATCACCCAATGCTAAAGATCTAAATCTAGCAATAGTTGAAACATCACCCATTGCTATAGAATCAAATCCAGAAAATCCAGAAGTATTATCTAATGTTGAAGAATCAAATCCGGAAAATACTGAAGCATCATCTAATGTTGAAGAACTAAATGTCGCAACTACTGAAGCAACATCAAAAGCTGAAGAATCTAATCCAACATATGATGAAGCATCAACTAATGCTAAAGATTTAAATCCAACAACAGTTGAAACATTACCAATTGCTGAAGAACTAAATCTAGAAAATACTGAAGCATCATCTAATGCTGAAGAATCAAATCCGGAAAATACTGAAGCATCATCTATGGTTGAAGACCTAAATGTAGCGACTACTGAAACAACATCTAAAGCTGAAGAACCAAATCCAGCATATGATGAAACATCACCTAATGCTAAAGATCTAAATCCAACGACAGTTGAAGTATTACCAATTGCTGAAGAACTAAATCCAGAAAATACTGAAGCATCATTTAATGGTGAATCTCCGATTGAAGAACTAAATGTCGCAACTACTGAAGCAACACCTAAATCGGAAGAACCAAATCCAACATATGATGAAGCACCACCTAATGCTAAAGATCTAAATCCAACGACAGTTGAAACATTCCTCATTGCTGAAAAATCAAATCCAGAACATAAGGATACATCACCTAATACGGAAGAAGTAAATGCAGCAAATAATGGTGTTACTAATTCAATCCATACAACATCTTAGTCGATCGGAATGCACAATTTTAAATTAATCGAAATGAACCATATTAAATTCTAAAATATCTTTCTTAACGTAATCTTGTTGTATATAATTGAATGGAAGAATAAAACTTTTGCTTATTGTATAAAAATTTATGTATAAATAAATTACATTTATTTATCTACTAAGCTATAATAGTACACTGAATAAAATACTAGCATAAAGTATCATTTTGTTAAAGGAGAGATTTTTTTAAAGATTATTGTTTGGTAAAGTATTTGTTTTCTCCGTTGCGTTCTCAAAATATCTAGTATAAAATGTATCGAAAGGCTAATATCTAGTAGTTCTATAGTAGATTTGTTCATATGCACATATCAATATTAGTTGGCTTGGAGTGTTAATTCCATGAAACAAAGGTTTGAATTTATAGAAAAGTTGGATTTCAATTGATTGCAAATCTATTGATATCAATTATAGTATCATTTATTTGTCTCGATGCTATGTTTTATAATGGAAACTGTACTGTATTGTCAACAAAAATACAGCCTAGGTCGGAAATCTTGAATCGTATTAATATGAAAGATTCGGATGTAAACGAGAAATATGAGTGTTTCAGTAAGATTATAGAGTTAATGCGTCTTTGAAGATGTTCGATATCTATCAGAGATCAATAAATGAACCTAGAGTGCTTTAATTTTTATCTGCAATGGGTTGCAATAAAGTTATGTTGTTATCGTTCTAGTCTTTTGCAATTGATATATCTCCTTTTCCATTAACAAAACAGTGTAAGAAAACAATGAAATCAGATCAAAGTACATGCTTATGTATAAATGTTTAGCGATTACACAACATGATTTATGAATTCAATGAGAGACGTGCCAGCCGCTCGTATTCTTGACACTATGTAAAAAACACACATCTAATTCATGTAATTACTCAACATAGTCAGTAAACTATCGTATATCGATACCAAAGAATAATACACCAAAATCTATATAAATTTCATTCTTGTTAAGAAAAAAGATTCTTTTATTGTTAGTCAGGTTTTTTTATCATCGTTAGGATGCACTTTTTCTTAAACGATCAATGATTGTTTTATTAAAAAGTTATCATATTCAATAAATTAAACAAAAAACCAGACTCAAGAAACAAAATATATTAAAGTTAACATTATAAAGAAGAAAAAGATCAACATTCAATCACAGCAATAATAAACAAGAACAAAATACATAGCCAAATATAAAGATTACTTTATAAATAAACATTTTTTAAGAATAACCGATGGGCTTATAATTATATTTTGTAATTGCATGTTATTGATTCTTAAAACATTAAAATTTTGCAATCAATTAAATAAGAACTAATCTAAATCTTTGTTTTTGTTATTTGTATATATAGAAATTTTGAACTTTTTTAGTTGTATTAGGATCATCAGATTTAGTTTTTATTTTTAACCAATTGAATCTTATAGAATATGTTTCAGTTCATTTTCTAAATTTTTATAACGTTCATTATAAACTTTAAAACTAATAGAAAAATTTTATCGAACTAAAATACTAGTATAAATCAAATAATTGTTTAACAATGGACATTGGTTCATTTAGTAGCATGATATTATCCCATGTATAATGTACTTCAAAATTTCGACTTTGCTAAAAACATTATATTACGTTTATTTATAACAATTACACGACGGTCAATGATAATAAAATGTGTATAATGTTTTTTGATGAGGTAAACATTATACTTGTGTATTATAGGATCATGAATAAAACTCAATATGACGTCTCTGTTCGCCTATGAAAAGTTTAGGATGTGGGCATGGAGATGTGGGTTCTGACGTTTATAATAGTAAATAACATATTCGCGTCGACATCCGCACACACCCTCTGATCCTACCATTTATAAAGGTCTTGTATCATTTCAATTTCAAGCTCATCAGTTGCCTGTTATTGGTTTGAATTAAATTCCTTTGCCATACTATTCTCTTTTTTATTTAAAAATTTTTAATCTAAAGTCAGTTCATCCTAATACGCATGTTTTTATGGACATAGAGAACAAGAAAAACAACATGTTAAGAATAAACACAAAAAAGAAAATGTATAGTAATGAATTATACACAGCGCTTGATTTAAATGAACATTTGCATGATGTTTTGAAGATATTCAAGTAAAGAAAATCAAAAACGAGCTTTGAAATGATGATCATTATCAAGTGCTATATTATCCGATTGATCGTATTGTCAATCAGAATATGAATGATCAACAAAGTTAGAGGCTGCTTGACGAATTTCAACACTATTATTTGTCGCAGCAACATCTCGAGATAAAGATGAATAAGGATAGTTAGAATACATCTGCTTAAGATATTTTAAAATATTATCTGATAATGTATGACTATAATTAATCGCAGCATAAGAAGAAGGTGATAGAACACAAATGTTTTCTTTTCTTCGGGATCTGAAAAATATTCGCGAAGACAATATATGTTCTAGTTTTGATTTACTTTCATTCGACAGTAGTAATGGTAGAGGCACATGTCAAGGAAATCTTGTCACTTCATGAATATAAATTTCACGTTGAAACAACACTTTCAATGAAATAAAATAAAAAAAAAGATTTCTTATTCATTTTTTTTCAAAATAATTCTTTCTTATTTTCATAACGAGATTGAACAAATGAAGATGCTTTTACAACTTGCTGATGCACCTCCAATGATCCGAACACTTCTATCATTAGTAAGCGCATTTTTTTTAAGAGAGCCTATTTCAAATTTTTCAATTTTATTTAAGAGATCAGATCGATCGGCATTAGCTGTCATCAACGTTGATGGTAATATCGGTTGTGGTGATGACATATGACAAAGAAAACTTTGAAAATTTTATTTTAAACCTTATCTAAAATCGAGGAACTAATCTAAAACGTAACTACACAGCAAGGAAAGTACATAATAAAATAAGAGTTCGCACATAACAAAGACACATATTATTCATATGTTTTTCTCGTTCTTAAATATAACTGTGAATCAACAAAATAATTGGATATACCATACTCAAACTTTTTATAAGATAAATAATAATAATAATAAAAAATGATGACAAAGACTATATTGAGATAGATTAATTGTGTTTATTTTGTGGAACTCACATATATTTTTGAAAAAAAACAGTTAGTGTAAGTTTAAATTGAGGTTTTTGGGGCTCTCTAGTATCTCCTCTTCATTACGACCAGGAAATGCGATGGAAGGCAAAGGTTATTAGATATATTCTTATAGCAACAGAAAATGGAGCGTAAGCAATACCAGTGGGGGTGTGGGTATGAATGTGGATGTAGGCGTGTGGGTGTGAGTGTAGACGTGTGGATGAAGATATGATCCACACCCAAATTTCAATTAGACATATACTATCCGATGAATGATACTAAACCTGATGATGACAAATAAACTGATAAACTCGAAAACTTCAATCAATTAGCTAATGGTTTATTCTTCAAAATTTGGCATCTTCCACCGAATAATACCAGCAAAATTTTATACTCATTAAAAACCAATATAATTTTTCTCTCAAAAATTTCATAAAAGAAAACTGCATCTATGAAGAACTTCTATGAACATTCAAATTTCTTATATAGAATATGTATGTAAAAATAAATAAAGAATCCTTCAGAAAGAAAAAAATTCAGATCGAAGCAGACTTTCTAGTATATTCGTCCTCACACTCTTACTTCCGCTAGTTCATATAAATGAGCCATAATTTATCATTTATGAAAAAGAACTAGAATGTTGAAATTGATTTTAACTTGAATCTTGTTAACGATAACTAATTCAAGTGTTTCCGTTTCTGTTCAAATTTTAAAGTCGTAAATTTATGAATTCCACTTTCGAAAAGTTAAAGCTTTTATTTAGATGCAAAGGAGTTTTTATTAAGCGCTACGTAGAAAAAAAGAGATTGTTTTTCTGAACAATTTATTGAAAATAGAAAATACCATACTTAGACATCAGCGAAATCTGTAATTGGAAAATCATGTCTCGGAAAGATACAAAATCCATCTACGGGTGTTAAAGATTTCCTAACTATTAAAATATGATATTTTATAATTTATATCCAGAGAAACTAACAAAGATGCTCTCTATTATCTAAACTTATTTTTCAAAACTATTCACAGGTAAACTCAATCATCTCGATTTTCGTTTAGTATTTTGATTCAAATGTTGTTTCATGTTTTGTTCTGTTGAATAAATCTCAGAAATATATGACTCTCTGTTTGATCATGTAGATAGGATGGATTTAATCGTTAACAAATGAAAAAGAGAAGCATTATCACTTCTTTTGATGATGTATATAGATTTTACCAACCACTACAACATAGTCGTTGTTGTGGATTGAAAATTCTGGATTTATTTCTGTTGATCAGAAAAATTCATGCATACAATAATGAGAAATTAGAGTTTGAAAAATTTGAAGTAACAATCGCGCACATCTGAAATAGTAACTTGCCGATCAGCTGTGGCCCATTTAGCTTTATAATTCTTCGTGCTCTCACAAGCGTTTTCCAATCCGCCACTACAGTCCATACGACCTGTGCCAACAGGTGGGGTACACAGTGAACTTTGACTTTCCTTTGGCATTGAGCGAGGTGAATACCAGTGATTTGCTCCGTCGGTTGGATCATCTATTTCGCCTGTCAAAATGTCTTTAGCTAGTTGGGTTATAGAGGACGTTGGACTTTGATTTGTAGCATGTTTTCGATTACGTTGACAAGCAAAACCAATAGCTATCTGTTCAGCCCTGTTGCCGATTGATGCTTCAGACATTATGCATGTTGCTAGATCATTAACACTCATGACTCCATTTGTTACACCAATGAGAGCAATCGAAAAGATCAAAAGAGAATGAAGAAACATATTAATAGTCTTCCAGTAATCGTGTAAAAATAATGTAGTTTCGATAGACGAATCTTGTAAACGGACTGATGCTTTTATACTCAATAATACCGTCTTTCTACACTGAAAGAAAAAAGGTACCG